TGTCTCTGCTCGTAATGGTTATGCTGTTACAGAAAATACCCTGAAATTGTTTTCATCTATAAAAAAATATTAATTTCTCTGAAAGTTTTCTATCGAAACATTTACAACCAGGAGGTGAAAAAGCTCTCTTGGGATTCAATGATGCCTCGTGCCACCTACTTTCAATAAATACCACTAAACCTATAGCACATACGTTTGACAATGTCAACTCCAAAATCTCCATACATTTTCCTTACTTTCATTTTTATATCATTTGTCTAATTCGAATGTCTAATACAGTTCGCGTAATTGAAATGTAATTCACTTGTCTTTTCTTCATTGTGCAAACAAAAACTGTAAATAACCAAATTGAGGCGACACGAAGCACACCGAAATTTTGCCTCGCCTTTGTGTTCAGAAAGGCTCAAAAGTTTCTTTAACTTAAAAAAAATCGCAATCATTAATAAACTTGTTTTAAAATTAACTATCTGAATTTTTGAACTGACACTGCTTATAGACGAGGGAAAATAAAAATATTAAAAGAGAACTTATGAACCTTTGTCTGTAACACGTAGAAGATTTTCTTCGATAGAAATCTCGTGTGTGCATAATGGTGCTGAATATTCAGTACTTACTGTATCATTATGCCTCTCCGGAATGTGTATCTGTATACATTAAGAGTTCACTCTAGAAATTTCAGCTTAGCATTAGCTGTAGTATGCCACCCAATTGGAGAGATTCGCGGCCCTTTATTGCTAAACAATGGATACAGTACGCTGCTAATTACGATTTGTGTGTTTTACGAGTTTGCAATTAACGGCGAACTGGCGCTATTGTGAACCGCTGTACAGTTTGAAAACAACCTTTCGATACGGTATTGTGTTTATTCATGCGCGTGATTTCTTTCGTTGAGTTGTGATTCATATGCAACGAAAACTCAGCTCGAATGGGAAATTTACGACCGACCTTCACCTTTTTGGGGGTGCAGCTGGAAATCAAATTTCACTTTCAGATTGCGGCTGTTCATCGGCCCCCGGTGGAACGCAAATGTTGGGCAATAGAAAGGACCGGGGATGGGAAGAATCTCTTTCTGTGTGGGTTTGCCGCGTACGCGCGATTCCTGGACAAAATCGATAAAGTTTTCATCAAGCAAAGTGACTGTCGTTGTTCGAGTCTCCTTTCTCGCGTCTGAGATTCCGAAGCGCAGGCGAGAGTGATGAAGCCCAGCCTGCCGCCCCCGGGGAGTTCCCGGCAGGGAAGAGTTTGTGGGCTGGGAGGGAGGGAGATATTCCCGCAGTGTGTGGGGGAAGAGCAGACGGCTGCCCGATTGCTGCGTGCTGTGACTCACTGGAAATACAATGGACAGCGATAGATTTAAGTCTCTTTAAGTTCTGCAATGCGTCTTCGGGATGGAGCTGCGATGCAGGGTTCGATTTTTTAAATTTTTTATTTTATTTTTTTAATAAAAGCGGCTGAAGTTCCACGAGCTTAACATTGAACAAAATTGCTTTTGCTTGGAGAAGATGTAGATTTTGAGTTTTATTTTGTTTGCAGTGTTGCGATTTGCGAAAGATTTTTAATTGAACAGGTAGAGACCTTCCTGCCTCATCTTCTCTGCCCTCTTTCTTTGCATTTTGACCAGACCATGTTTGGCCTGAATAACATATTTTTTTCGCAGCAAACACAGAAATATTTTGTTATACCTTATCGCCTTGCGAAATATATAATTTCCTCAATAACTTTTTAAGTATTCCTCTTCAGTTCTTTAACAGAAATACATGTTGTAAATTTACGTATATTCGTTATATTTTGTTTTATAACTCCACCAATTATTCAATAGAACATATCGAGTTAGCCTGAAACATCTTTCATTAATGGGGGCTGGTAAATTTTATTAAATTGTACTCGTACGTCAAAAAGCAGACTCAGGATCACAAATAAGATATTACATTGATAGCATAGGGTTTTCATTACATTAATGTTCGCAGCATCGGGTCACAAACAAGATATTACTTTGTTAGCTTATAGTTTGCATTAGCTTAAGGTTGTTTCGTAGCGCCGGGTCTTATTCATTTCCTGAGCTCCATTTGAGCTGCGGATGTTGCCAGAGAGAAACGAATTTATCGAGCAATGGGAATTCCTGCCCTCCACAATCAAAGAGGAAGTTAAAGTCTGACGCAAAATGTGTAGTACTTCCTCCTAGAGCTTCTTGACTGCGGAAAAAGACTAATGTGGCAGCTTTTTTTCAACACTTTCCTCTGTGAAGTAAAATTTTCAAACAAACAAATAACCAAACATTAAGTAGCAACAAACAAAAGTGAAATCAGTACATATTATAAATACCTGGTAACATTTGCAACTTTAGATTCGACGCAAAAGTTCGTCGACCTTAGAGTGTTTTCACATAGGGAAAGCGTGTTGTAAGACACTGCATGTGCTGGCATACTGCTCTATCGCGTTGATACGGTATCAAGTGGTAAACCGACCTGTAACAAGGGGACTCATTTAGGTCGAAACCTTGGCACCGATGTCCCCCTGTTCTTTTGTCTAGGAAGGTCACCGCCTTCATGGGAAGTTAGACGTTAGTGAACGCTTTCGAAAGTACGAAGAACGTTATCATAGATCAATGTTGGCGTACTCATTAATAATTTCAAGGTTGGACATTTTTCAAAAGCAAACGCGATTGATACTTTTTATATAGGATTTAGAGATTTTTAACTAAATAAATAGTCTTCATTTTTTCTGATACGTTAATACTTATTATTGTCTTCGATACGGAGTTCGATAAACACAGAATATCGTACCTGGATCCAGAGGATCTGGTTACGAGGGAAATATGGAAACAGTTCAATGGTGCAACATGTTCTCACATGGAGGGAATTATGGGAGCGAAATATGAAAAGGCAAACCTAGTCAATTTAACAACTAGTTAATTAGTAAGTAAGTCAGTCAAAATCATTAAAATGACGTAGAAAAAAAAATCATGTACGCACCACGGGCATTAACTGGTTCTAATGATTTCTGGCACCAAAAAGCCCTCGAGCGAAATGCCCTCGAGCTTGTCACCGCTCGATCATTAGAACCCTTATGACGTTTTTGACGCATAAAAACTATTATTGACCTTCATTGGCCTGGAAACTCGGTGATCGCATGTTTCTTGTGAGCACAAGCCCTTGTTGCCCCCTCCTCGGGTCTGCCTCTAACGCTGTCGCTTACTACGTACTGGAAAGGACCTGTAAAAGCTATCTGTTGTCGTCCCCGCCTTAATCGGCGTCCGCTTTCGCCAACGTACTCAGTTGGCGGCGGCGGCGGCGGCGAGGGCGGCGACGGCGAAGGCGCCGGTGTCCCCGGCAGCGAGCGGCGCGGCGGCGGCGGCCTCAGTTGCATCGACGCCGCTTTCGCTCTCCTCCCTGCGGGGGGATCTCGGATCAGAGCTCGAGGAAAGCCGTCCATCACGGGAAGGATCAGAGTGCATCGAATCGGTCAGGACACTGCACCCGCGGCGCTAAATCGAGAATCGGAGGCGCGATACCGAGTGGGTGAAAGCTGGAAGGTTTGGCAGAGAAGCGAAAGTGATGAATTTCTTTCCGTTTTGACAGTTGTGTGTTGGGTAGTGTTGGGTTGAGATGTGGAAGTGAGAACGTTGCGACATGGTGCTGCTACGATTAAGTAAGTGGTTGAAATACTGACAGAGTGCTTGGACGTATGATTTATTGTTAAAAATGAATTGGCTTTTATACATTCATTGATTACAATAGTTCATTTTAATGTGCAGTGTGACATATTTTTCTCGTATTCGATAAAGGTTTGGTGCACTTGACAGCTTGAGAGTTTACTGAATGTTCATTTAATGTATTAGGATTATTTTCTTCTGTAAGGACAAAGCGTAAAATTCAGCTCCACAACGCATTGTAGAGGCTCTTACTGTTCCAAGTGTAAACGTATGGCATTCCTTTCGAAAGACAAAAACGTGTTTCAGGAGTACAACCCGTTGAATCATCAACGACGATGACTCAGTAACACATTGGAACGCTACACTAGGGTATGTGTAAATCTTCCTGACGAGCAAGTGGCTCTTTAAAGTGCTTGCAAGGCTCTTGCTTATGATTCGCGGATCGTATTTAGAAAATTATTTTACAGTACGCTTTTGTCTTCGTGTACTATGATACTCTCGTACGAGTTTGTTGAGCGCGCCTTCTCTGTGTGTGGTGTGGTGTGGTGTGTGTGTGTGGTGTGTGTTTGCGCGCGTGCCATGCGCGTAGACTCAGACAAAAACAGGTATCCGAACCTGTAAGCGAATGCACAGCTTAATAAGAAGTGGCAGGGGAGCGCCGGAATGGCGCGTGAGTAATCGGGGCCCGCAGCGCCCCAGACTCTTCCGGCGCGGGCCACTCTTCCAAGCGCGTCTTCCGCCCCCGCCCCTTGGCCCGCGGCTGCCATTGTCAGTGCCGCCGCCTCTACGTACGCCAGTACCCCAACCGCACCCGCTTCCGGTCTGAACCTTCTTCGACCACCTGATTTCCCGCCGTCTTTTCCCCAGCCCTCCCACGCCTCCTCGCCTCCCAGCCCTTCCTCGCCCTCCTCGCCCTCCTCGCCCTCCCTTCGCCCTCCTCGACCCCCCGCCCACCCACCCACCCACCACCCACCCACCCACCCACCCACCCACCCACCCATCCCCCCACCTGCCCAATTCGCCCAACCGTCTCCCGCCCGTCATGTCGCCCACCGTCCCCCCAGTCACCCACCCGTCTATCCATCCGTCCATCTGCCCGCCCACCAGCCTACCGCCCTACCCAACCCAGCGTCAGCGCCAGCGGACACGCGCCTCACCGCCTCCACACCACCTCAATTGCCTCGCACCAATTCACTGCCTTTTCCGCCGGCCCCACTGCCGCCGCCTCCGCACGTCGCAGGCGACGCCCGTTGAGTCAGGGCCAGGCGCCAGCCGCTGCCGGGTCGCGTCGCGTCTGCATGGTGTCGCGGTTCGCCCGGTTTCGTCGTACGCTTCGTCATTCGCGGGCATGCGGCATGGTGGTCGCCGCGCGTGCCCTGTGCTCGTGCCTCGGGGCGGCGGTGCCTCGCACCGCGGCGCTCTCGGGGGCGGAGGCGCGAGCGCGGAGGCGCCCGCCGCAGGACGCACGCGGCCCACCGCCTGCGCGCCGAGGGTGGTGGACGGCTACGTCCTCATGCACGCACCTGCCTCACAGCCACCTCCAGGTATACACACCAGGGACAGCTGCCGCTTGGTCACTGCTGGCAACATAACTGCAGGTTATGTCCATGCACTCGTTTTGTGGGTGCGTTCGTTTACAAATACTTCATTTGTAAATGGCTTCATCACTGTCTCTTGCAATGTCATCGCCTTTCACGGCGTACTTTTGTTTCCCGGAGTGTCGAAGTGGTCCCTTCTTAGAGTAACTCGTCTATACTCGCCTCCAGGCGGCCGCAGCCCGGGAAGCTGGCGAACGCGAAAGTTGTGCGCGGAAGGAGTGAAGAAGTGGTGAAAGCGGTGTCTCTCCCGCGATGTCTGGCGTTGCGATCAGTTCCTGAGATGTTTTTCCATTGACAGACGCTCGGGCAACACGGTGGCTTTCAGGTAGCGTGCCGTCGTGCGAGTGCTCAAAACTTTCGTTTTCGGTGTTGGCGTCGTCTTCAACCACTGTTACTTGCTGGTTGCTTACTTGTCAAGGAGATGTTATTTAAATAAATGTAAATGTATTCATTTTTTATCTCGCTTATGTTATGATATTTCTGTGTTTTCCTCTTTGGCAATGTTTTGAAACTGAAAATACAGGAGTCCATGAATACTCATTTTGCCGTTTCTGTGTAAAACTTGAGGATTGGTCAAAGCTCTATTTCTGTTTGTTCAGAATACTCAGAGTATTTCTTATCATGTTCATGACTTGCGAAACTCAGTTTTGTGTGGAAGTTAAACTTCATAACAGGGATATGTCATTTCGCATTTCTTTTCATAGGAATAGGTAAGGGTAGTGAGAGGAGCTGATAGGACATTTTCTCTTCGGAAAGCATTTTATTTCCAAATACTCTGTTGTCGAACTAGAAAAAACAAAGAAAACAGCGACTATATAGAACAAAAAGAACGATTTACATTCGCGTTACTAAAAAGACATTTATTAAGCAATTGCTCCTAAAATACCTCGAAAATAATCATTACTATGTCTTTTGCAAATTGTTCATCTCCACGAATTCTCCCACCCAACCTAATTTTCATAACATGGGTATTCTCTCGTTTCGTACGAATTTAAACGCGATGATCAACCACGCACAATCAACATAGAGGAAAGACAAGTTCAATCTATTATATGTTCGCGATTTCATTCTGATGTTCTTCGCTCTCTCTCTCCTTTCTCTCGCTCTTTTTTCTTTCTTTTTCTCGCTCTCTTTTTTCCTTCTTTCTCTCGCTCTCTTTTTTTTCTTTCTCTCTGTGAGTGTGTGTGTTTACTAAAATGTATCAATTTATGAAGAATTTTACATAGTGTTCTTCTCTTTTGCTCTTTCATTGAATAGAATACTATAGAACTCCCCGGTTTCATTTTGCTCTTCGTAGTACCTGACAATTTCTTCCACTTGGTCTTTCTATGTAAGTATATTCGCCCAGCTTTCGTATCGCCTTTTCCTCCGACTTCGACATCTCTTCGAAGACCCACTCCATTATCAATGCTGGATTAACATATTAAAGGGTAGTAAGCTCTATGAGCCATGGAATGAACAATCTGTAGGCCTTTCTAATATTGAACAAATGTAATCAAAATAAATAATATGAAAATAAACCATAACTTTTGGGACTTTAAAAATTAACTTGAAAATATGTTTCACATTTAGGAAATAATAAGAGTACCAACTGAATAAAACATTTACGAACAAATAAACGTTGTTCGAAAAATTATTGGGGGTGACTAAGCACGTGCTCAGTCTACTTACGCGTTAATTGTCTACAATCCAAGCCGCAGGCGTGGCGTGGCGTGGCGTGGCGTGGCGTTTCGTTAATCTGGCCCGCGCGTCCTTACCACCCAGCGACCGCCGAAGCCGCGAGAGTCATGCGGTAGGACGGTGCGAACTGGGAACAAAGGGGGGGCTGCGGGATACCGCTACTCGAAGTACGAGTGACACGTGCGGGGGAATAGAGCATCGCGTTATTTAGACGAGGGGGCTACCCGGACTTGGAAAAATTACCGGAAATTCATGTGTACGAAATGTGTTGCGTCAGTGAATGAATCCACCTTACAAATCGTCCGTAATTATTGAGCATCTGAGAAAAAAGGAAGTTTGTGCACATATACAAATGTCGCGAGATATTTAAATCACATCGCCAGCGTACCAGTACGAATATTTTAAGGCGTTGAGCAGTCCCTGTTTACCGCGTCGTTTGTGCGCCGTAACCATTCAATACAGATGTTTCTTTTGTCTGTTTCGCAGAGACTATAAAGATGATACTAAAGATGAATGTAAAAACTTCACAATTCTTCTCTGTACCATGACATTACTTCAGATTTCGTCAGATATGTTTGAGTTCTATTTCTTGAGGTCGTTTCAAGAAGGTGGGTGTTTAGTACCTTCTCGTAAAATCAATATTTTGTAAATTTCGATGAGGCAATTTGTCAGGTTCGCAATGTTGTTAGGTTTTCTTGTCTCCTAATGAGCTGTTTCAGGAAAGGCACAAGTTACTTCCGTGCCGGAAGGTGAAATTCTTGCTACACCAGTGCTAACACTTTTTGCCTTTAATGGAATTAAAGTACAAGCTATTTGTAGCTATTTATCCTACGTCTTTTGTTTTCCTCCAGCATGGAAAATACGCATTTGTTCATGATTCTTTTGAATCTAAAATAAATTTTGTCCTCTTAGAACATTTGACACATATTTAAATTCTATACAATAGGTTGTGCAGAAGTTGGAAATAGCAAACCGAACTGAATCGTTAGAGTTCAGGATGAATGTGTGTAATAATTCTGAGATCGTAATCACTGATTGTAATGTTCGTTTGAAAATATGTTGATCATTTAACAAATCTTCAATTTGTTCCTCTGAAAGGAAAATTAATTCTGAAATATGTAATACCAAAGTGAAGTACGGCCCGAAGAATGTCGAACATCGAATGAGACTTCACTATTGGTAGCCTGTACCACTGGTTACAGAAATGTCAAATAATTGCTCATTAATTTGGATGACCATTCAGAAATCCGTCACAACACAGATGCTGTGTAAAATAGTTTCAACCAGGATTACGCAATGGACGATCTTGCTTTCCCACGAGAGTTGGAACTGCAACCGCCTACAAATTACTTTTCCAGCGTCTTCGAACCATTTTTACAGATAGGTAAACGCACGCCTTGAGTTCGTGGACCCACGGAATGCCCCAGCGGCACCAACCATTACTCGAATTATTTACAAACAATGAGATCACGATGCGAAACAGCTGCTCGGGGACCAGTAACAGGCTTTCCCCCAAACTGTACCGCCAGAAGCGCACGTGATCGAGCCACTGGCAACAGTTTCCGGACGTAAACACGCGTCCCGATGAGGCATCTTTTTGCGAGAACCGGTCGTCGCGGAGCTCCAATTTAGCGCGTGAATCATTTCGCGAAAAGTCGTAAGCGACTGCGGTTGGGCGCAGAACACGTAAATCGCACGGAAGGCTCGACCCGGCGCGGCGGCGGGGGCGGCCCGGGTCGCAGTGCAGATCGCAGCGCGCGGCAGTGGAGGACTGTGGCGTGCCCAGCGGTGCGCTTCGACGTCGCCAGGTGGCGAGATCGACCGGACGAGCCACCGAGATCGCGTCGCAGCTGTTCGAAAACAGCTGAGGATTCGCAAGCGCTATCAGGTTGTTGTTGGACGAACGAAAGGTGCGCTGACTGCTACCTAGTGGACTTAATATGTACTACTGGGAAGAAAACGTGTGATTGGTGGCGCGAAATACGAACATATTTGGGGTGACGAACTTTTTGAAGTAAATTCTTTATTTGAAATTATTTCTGTGCTTTTTCGCGTAGTACAAGTGATTTCTGTGTAATCTACATTGTATTTAGACTTTTGTACAAGTGTTTGGCTGTAATCTCGTAAAACGATGAGCATTGATCCAGATTTAAGTACTTGTTACTTGACCCAATAGTTATTGGTAAAATTTACACCATGTGAAAATGATTTTTTTGGAAGATGATTCATCTTATTTCTGCTCTCCTTAATTTCCTTGTAAAAAAAATGAGGACTTTATATTTATTATTCTGCTTTAATTGTTTCAGGTGGTCGCGCAGCTGATATGGATGATATTCTAATTGTCACCAGCAGACACAGTCAAGCTGCCACATTATGGATCAATTATCTTACCAAATGCTTCAATTCCATCTGCCAGTCACGTCAAAAGCCACCTTACAAGTAAGGATGCTTAAAAATTATGCATATGTAAATTAGTGCTAAATAATCCTGTTTTCTTCTGCAAAGTAATAAATATTTATTTTGTTCTTTAAAGATAAGGAATCAAATTACTCCCTCAACCAACTTCCTTGAGAACACATCCCAGATCTCTCCCACTTCCTTCATTGAGTTGCAATAAAAAAATATATTATTGACATCATAAAAAAATTCAATATTGTCTCTATGCATTGGGTTTAAGCATTTATTTAATCATCTATGAGTAAATTCACAGGCCTCATCTTTTAAAGGGTTAATATTTCTTACCATTTTACAATATTTGTTTTTCTTTGAAATCATTACTTTTTTGTTTTAAAAAGCATGTTTCATGCAAGTGATATGATACAACTTTAATGTATTTTGTAATTTTCATGAAAGTGATCAATTTCGATAATTTCAATTTTTTGAAATTATCATTAACATTTTTGGTTTTTCAGAATTCTCAACTTGGGTGTCGAAGATATAGTTGGCACAGGAAACATGTCAGTTGCAATGGAAGAGAAAATGGTTAGGGTTAAATTACAGATCGTGATTTTGTGTCCACAATTTTTGGAGCATATCTACGATAATCCTGCCCCTGCGAGTATTTTGACCCGGCTTCTACAACCAGACAGGGTTTTGGCCATGCTACTAGGGGTTGAGGAAAGTAATATCACAGAACAACATCAAGCAGGTTGGTATATGAAAAAAACAATGAAAATAATGGAAAATTTAACCAACATTTTTTTGCATTGAAACTTATCATCCTTTTTAACTGCAGTGCTTCCATCATATCAACAATGGCAACGAATGCAAGTAAAAGATCAGGATGAATCCTTTGTTGGTGACTTCCTTGGTGCTGGATTAACAATTCTAGCCAGAGTAAGCCGTCAGCAACTTGCCAAGGAAAAAGCTTTGTTTTCAATTGTTCCCAAAAAAGTTAATGAGGTGAGGCAAATACTGATATTTTGGTTTTAAACGATATTCTGTCACCTATTGTTCATTTATTTCATATTAATACTTTAGGGGCAAAACAAAGTAATTTTGCTGCTAAATGAACCTATGACAAAAGACGATGTTGTGAAAATAAAAGTCAACAAAAATGGAGAGTTTATCGATGTCATTGGTGCTAAGAGAAGAAACCCATACACTCTCTATTTTCAAATTCCAGGTAAATTTATTTTTTAATATTTTATAAATTGTTAAGTTGTTTATAAATTGCAGAGAAATGTATTGTTCACTTATATGTTTAAATTTTATACAGAATGTTGTCTGGAAGTTTCCATGCTTGTTAGTATTCATGTGGAAAAAAATGGACAAGATCTTGGAAGTAGATTAATTAAATGCGAGAGTAGAATGAGAGAATTGGATCAACTTCTTCGCACTTCCAACAATCCACTTGATTTTATGTGCCAGGTAATGTCCTAGGAAAAATTGTATTGGACAAAAAGACATTTTTTTCAAATTTCGATAAATTTGTAATGTGTCGTGTGTGTGATTTCTAGACATTAGGGTTTAGTCCTGGAGATCGAGAACACTTGGATAATTTTTTGGTAACCTCATTTCAACGGAACCTTCCACCACATTTTAATCTTCTTCAGACTCCAGGAGATTGTCATCAGCATAGAACACATGCAAGTACGTATATATTCTAATTTCACCTAGTTATGTGTGATAAAATAATATTCACTCTAGAGCTGCAGTAACTCTTGTTTTTCCCATGCTTAAATAGGTCCTGAAGAGTATCCTACATTACTTCACTTTGCTGCACGTTTTGGGTTAGAAAAGTTTGCATGGCAACTATTGGAGTGTCCGGGAGGAACTCTGGCTTGTGAGATTCGTAATGTGTGTGACTTAACACCAGCTGAAATGGCTGAGGCAGCTAACCATCCAAAGCTGGCCCACATTCTCAGGGGATACATGGTAACAATCCACAAACTGCCTTAAAATCTCTCATATTGCTACTGCAAGGGACAGGTACTCATGCATTACTTGCAGTATTAAAATTGAATTGCTTGTAACTACATTTGATTCTTGGTATTTTATTGTTGAAGAGAATTTGGAAACCATAATTGATAGTCATTAAAATATTATTTTACCTAAAATAAAAATACCAATATTAAAGATCGACTTAAAAATAATAATATTAATAATATTTTATAAAATTCGCATTATGTTTGCAATAACTTGCTTTTCTTTTCTTTTCTTTTTTTACCACCAACTGGACAGCAAATGACTGAATTCACAATTATGTACGACATGTTGGGCAAAATGAGTGAAGGAAATCCAAAAAATGATAGTAAGTGAAAGTTTAATAAGTTATTACTTAGTAAAATTGTTTTTAATACAAAATTTAAGCAAGAAAATTTAATAATGATAATATCTCATTTGTAACAGGTTCAAATTATCGTATTCCTAGAAGACTCAGTGACACATACCAAATTCCTCAATCTACCCGCACGTTAGTAGATATCTATGACCAAGTGCCTTCAGTGGTAAGGCCAATCACACCTCCTCCAGCTTCTCCAAAACCTCCTACTAATGAATCAGAAGGATACATGGAGATGCTGCCTAGAAGTACGTTTACTGAAATTTTGTATTGCCCATGAAAAATGAAACGCTTTGTACACTTTCTCACATTCACTTTTCTTTACAGATCCAGGCAGTAGTAACAATAGTACAAAGAATTTTGGTTCTCAGAATCTTGCACCTGTGATGTTTGAGCTCTCAGAAACTTTATCTGTCAAGTCATCTCCCAGTGAAGCCACCCAGAAGATCTCCAGTCAGTGTAATTTGGACCAGATTAGCTTGGAATCAGCTCATGATGAAAAACTATTGCAGACTGGTATGAAGACTTGGATCTTTTGATTTCCTTATAGAGACAGAGTTTTAAAAGTCTGACTGAAAACAATAGGTTGACATTGAGTTTTGCAAGTTAATCGATAATGAAATTACATAATGAAAGAATATGAAATACTTCCAATGAAAACAATGAAATGCATATACCAATATTTTGAATTGCTAATCTGTTTTCACCAGAATGAAATATTCTCTAATTGCATTAGCTTTACAAATAAATACTTCAATTTTAAATTCTGACATTTTTCTGTATATTTCTTTTAACTCAAATTGATATTTCTTGTCTTCATTAAATACTAGGACGAATAACATTAGACAAAATGATTTCGAGAAATATGGAGTAATACATTTTCTGTGATATTAATAAAATAAGATTCATTAATTTATTAATAAACAAACAAGACATCACATTGTAAATATAATGTGATTGATTATTATATGTAATTACTAGGCGGATTTTAATGATTTTTTTTTTCTTTTTTCTTTTTTTTTCCCCCCACTTTAGAACAATGCCATTTAGAATAGAAATTCATTTTATTTTATGACAAAACAAAATGACCCATTTTTATGTGTCATTTTTTTGCATTTTTCATCAATTTCAACCAATAAATTCATTTTTACCTTTTCACATCGTTTTTACTGCATTTTTCACAGATTTCGCTTTCAATATCATTTTAATGGTACTTGTTTCAAACAATATATATGTGGTGCAACAGGTGTTCACCCCAGAATTCCTGAGTAGACTATTCAATTTCTCACTCACATGTTGTAATGTCAACCTTTGTGAGTACTATGTAATCTAAGGCTCCTGCGACATTTATTGGTGACATTGTCTATAATTGACCAATTTCACGATAAATAAATGCAGAAATTTTCTTTTAAAGGAAAGTTCAAACCCAAATTTTGCTAGCTGGGTTCACTTGGACAAAAAAGAGAAGCCTCGATTACATCAGAAACCTATCCAACAGCTTGAGTTGTTCATCTGAAGTGATGCTGATCAAAAATTTTTTTAAATAATTTTTCTTTGCTTTTAGGGCATTTTAAGAGCATTTTATTGATCATTTTTGGCATTGTTATAGGTCATCAAAATCTGCACCCTAGTAATTACCATGTATTAAGTTTAATATGTGCTTAAATTTACAAAAAAAAATTTTTTTGCAGGAGTCAATATTAAAAAGTCCACTGAACATGTTAGTCAAGGAGTACAGGATGAATTACTTGAAATCATCAATGATTTCAAGAACAATGTTCACACTTTGTCTGAAGTGGAGAGACTTGTTGAGAATTGGAAAAACAGAAATGATGTGCAGCGATCATTCAAGGAAAAGCAGGTTGGAAAGAACAGATATTATTTCATTTCTTGAACATCTTTTAATTAGTAATAATATTGTTATATATCCTTACAATTTATTTCAGGAGCAATTGAATCAGATGAGAGAACAATATCAAGTATTGCAGCAACAAATGAAATCTCAAATGAAAAGGCCAACACCTTTTGATCGAATCAGGAAGATATTTCGTGGCAAGCCAAAAGGTATTTTAGATAGTCCTGTCATTAAATAATTATTTGCAAAATTATTTTTTAATGAAATATATTTTATCATATTTTTCGAATTTCAGCAGAACAAAAAGACAGCTCCTCTGAAAATTCCTGTACTAATACCCCAGAAGGAAATAACAAGCAAGTGCATCCGGAATGTGGAACAGGATGCACAAGACCCATGAGCAGCCTAAGCATTCACAGTATTTCAAGTAAGTGGTTTTTGATAATTTTCTATCATTATCATACTATTCATTTTGGGCTTAAGACTGTAAAACCAACTGTTTTAATCATTTTAAAATATTTAATGGTATTGAATATAACACTGATAACATTTTTAATTACCTCTTTTCAGGTTCCTCATCTGGACGTATGAGCACATTAAGTGGCTGTAGTGGAACTAGTATGGGAGACAGTGGGACTCATTCTGATACAGATGACAGAAAGGTAATTACAAATCCTTAATTTTTGTGTAGGTTTTAAGATTGTGATTATTTCATCATTAATATGTACTTTGACTTATAAATTATGTTTGAAATGGTAATGTTTCTTAGGCTCCTTTCTGTCCTGTGGAATTAACTAAGACTGTTGGAGCAATGCCCAATTATGCAATTCCTCCTGCACCAAGAGTTGTAATGAGTTTTAGTAGCCCTATGGAATCTTGCATAACTAAAATTGAGGTAAGTTTTTCTGTTAGATTATTCTTTCAAAAATGTATTTCAACACAAATAAGGAATAAGATCTCTGTATTGTCGTTTTATAGAAATAACTAGTGGATCTCAGGAACATTTCTCATAATGTTAAAAAAATGAATATAGATAAGTAGTGGAATCCAATTTCAAATATTTCTCATAACCCACACTACAAAGTGGGAGTAGTCAGAAGAGATATCTCCAAAAATGTAATAGAAGGTTCAGAATGACTTCATTTTGTAGATACAAAATAAGGGAGATATATATGGCCTATGAGGGACATGGAAACCAGATTTTAAGAAATGAGGCATTATTTACAATTATGAATAATGGTAGTTGATTTGTATTTTGCACGATCACTTTCTGTTTTCCTTGCATCATAATCCCTTCAATTCTAATTGTTTTTCTCTTGAATCCATTTGATGGAGGGGAAAGGGTATTTCTCTATCCAGCAGTAGTACACTTAAGGGATTTTGTGCAATGTTGTCTTATAAAGGGCACAAAACCAACACAATGTCTTGGCTTATTTATTATAGCTTATTAATAAAAGAACAATGTTGAAAATTATTTGAATAAATATCAATGAGCTTAATGAAATAATGAGAATGAAATTATAATTTTAATTATAATTAATAAATGTGAATGATTTTGTGTTAAACCATTTACATGGATGCTAGTTGACTTGGAAAGTGTCTTACTTAAATATACAACAATTTCTCAAATTGTCACTTTATAAAACTAAAAATTTTTTGTTTTTGCCTGAAGTTCTCCTTCTTAAAATATTGCAAAGTGGTCTCTTACATTCTTATTGAGTAGTATTCTCATAACTATTGTATTAGCAAAGTATTTATGAGATTGTTTACATAATTGGATTCTATGAATTTACATATACAACCATGTTCTTTAGAAAAATTCAAAACCATTGTTATCATTTATGTAATTACTACAAAAGAAACCGTATTTAATTAACTTATACAGAATTTTTATTTTTCGTTTTAAAAATCAATAGGAGAATGAAAACATGATTTCATTAACAATGTGTAAAAAAAATATACTTGGGGAAAAAATTCTGGCTTTCATTTGATTCTCACTGAGCAATTATATTATTTTATGCATTAGTTTATTGTAAACTAAAATTGAAAGAACTAATAAGGCAATTATATTTCATAGAATCGGCCTCCAGAACCTGTCCCACGTCCAGAAAGTGACCCGTATATTTCTCCAGAGGAGACTCCTTCGTATATGAACACTGGTATGTTAATTGTTACAATAATTTTGATTTAAACATAAGATATAAACATTATGTAAAGTGAAACTTCAATTTCAATGATATAGTAAAAGAAAAAATCACTATGATTGTAATTAAAAATGTGTAATTTGTATTGCAGGAGAACAATCTACTCGGAAACAATCTATATGGAGTGAAACTGAAGAGAGGATTTCTGTAATGATTTCAGCAAACTCAACTAATACTGAAGTGGTTAATCAAGATCAAAACAAAAGAATCAGTGAACCAGAGTATTTAGAAGCATTACCTATCAATAATAATGAATATGTTAACATATCATACTCCACTGAGACAACTTCCAAAACAGAGCAGAGCCAGTCAGAACAGAATGATGCTACTGATTCAATGCCAGAATACATGAATGTCACTGTGGGTAATATCTCTGCTCCCCCAGTGCCACCAAGAGGTATGTTTTAGATGTTTGTATTTCTTCCTGGAGTATCCAAGAAATTTAACTTACACAAAATTTATACTGATTTTTTTATTCTTTATCATAGAATAAGCTGATGGTTCTAGAATTTGAAAATAAAAACAATGTCCTCGACTGGTGTTCAGAAACTATTGTTTAAATGGAAAGAAGAAATTATGAACAGTCAAAATTTCAAAAATCTTTCAATTTCTCATTTTCTTGGTGACGTCATATGAAATCCTATAGCTTCTTCCTGTGGTCCAATTAGTATAGTGACGTTGGGACTTTCAAAGGCTTTGTTCAGTTATTTGTGACAAATTATGAAATGTTTTTCACAGACAATATTACCAAAGGAACTGCAAAAACATCAGTATATATCTATCTTGGATATTCTTTTTTAAAGGAAAACAAGTAAAATTAGTGTTTTTTTGGCGTGTGTGTGTGTTAATCTTCAAAAGTATAATTCAGTGATGTGTTATTTTCAAGTCCCAACAAAACTGAAGAATTAATCTTTGAAGAAGTGGTTCATATTTCATAAAGACTGATTTATCCTTCCATATTCATATTTCATACAAGTTTGAGTGAAAAAAAAAGAAGAGAAAGACTCTTTATTTATATTGTATTTGTCGTGTGTGTTTGCATGCCACTGAATGTTCTTAGTGTCAGATTAACGTGCGAGTTATTTTGAACAACAAGTTTTGTTTTCACTGCTGACAAACTACAAAAGAACAATTTTGTACCATTTTTGATTTCCTTCAGCAGCATTTATGTAATATATTGTACATATTTTTTTAAAACTTTTTTCAAAACAAAGTAATTTAATTATATTTTATATCCAAACAGTTATTTTTGTATACAAGAAAATATGTTATTCACATCTAAGAGATTATGAAAATCAAATTGTGTATCATTCAGGTAGGGCTTTATACAGCATAAAATTATATAGTTTTCAGAATTTAGAAAGCCAAAAATTTGTAATTATGTTGTACTGAAAATATATTGTTTCAGAAGAAGATGGTAGTAAACAAATTGATGTGTCAATGTATAAAAAAAATCACTTAATGTGTTTATCAAAATGTACTCTCATACTTGTATTATAGTACATTTATAGTACATGTAATGACAATGTTTAAATGTAGTAGCTAATTTTATATACTTTTCAAATACAACATTATTAAATCAATCATTGTGTTTTATTATACCTTTACTGAAGATAATAGAGGTGAGAAAGTATTGCTTATGATAATCAGTAAGTTTTCCATTATTTTCTTTGTAATAAATATCTGAGTGCCTTATTCTTAAAAAAAGATGAATGTAATACCTCTTTTTGTATATATTTGAAGTTATTAACTTTGAAATTGTTTGTCCAGTCTCTTATCCATACAATGAAGGGGAAACCCAGACTCTAGTAAAAAGTATACAGCAAAAACAAAAATTCTGTATTATTTCTCTAGAATTTACAGATCATTAAAAGTGAAAATGTGCAAACTATTGAAGATAATATATTCTCATGTGCTCACATTCACATGAAAGCTTTAAAAGAGTGGTATTCAGGAGAAAGCAAGCCTTAGCATGCACAGAACCTGGGACAACTGATACAGTTGCCACCCATGTAATAATAAAAGACAACAATTAGCAATGAGGTGTGGGTGATCACAGATAACTCTGGTGAGAGATATGTGGAGGTCATGTTGCCCCAAATATTTTCAAGTACGTCCAGTAGTTTTAATTTACTTTATCTTCTTCTTTAGTTTACTGTCAACAAGTTTGCAGTCAAGGTGTGTTATTGAATTCAGAGCCATACTACTCTCAGTTCTATGTCTCTGTAATATAATACTCTGTGTTCAGAGCTTGTTACCTGCAATAAACAACAAAAAATGTTGTGACTGAAACTAAAGTTCCATAGAGGTACACACTTCCATTGGTGTCGTCCCAAAATTTTGTTTCAGAGACACCCGTGTGGGTGACAACGATTTTATTTATTTATTTATTTAACACCAACAAAAAAATGTATGTGACAGTACCGCTTAAGTTGTTCATTTAGTAATTACACTTCCTTTTTAAAAAGGAAAGTAGAACAGAGAATTTCTCATATAAATTCATTAAAAGTTTTGTTACTTATGAAGACTCGCATGGAAACTTTAGTCAGTTCTATCATTTTGCATTTGACAGTATGAAATATGAAAAAAAAAGAATTCATAATCTCTCTCTTGAACAAAAAAAAGAAAAAAACAAGGTGGAGGGGAAATGAACAAGTAGTTAAAATAAAAAAAGACAGAATTCACCTGTTGTCACCTGTTGGACTATTTTAGTACTTGGTAATTCAATTGATTGACAATGCAGGACAATGTACCTTCTTCTGAGTGCAGTCAGAACATGTAATTTATTCAAAGTTATGAATAATCTTTCATTATTGAATATGTAGGTCAATATTACCACTATATCATGTATGTATTGTGATTGAAATGCTTGCAATGCAAGATAAAGGCAGGAGTAACATGACACTTTTGAACTACACACTAACACACTAACTGAATCTTCAGTTAGAAATCTTTCTGACAGATTGATATGAGTAATTTCAAGCTTGTCACTTTATCTTCAAGCGTATGTAACACAAAATACCAAAAAATACTCAAATTACTCAGATGGTCTTGTACCATTGTACTTCATTAATAATTTTTTATCAGCTTTAATGTGGAAAACGTTCTTTCGGCAAAAACACAGAATACACGTCACCCCTTTAGCATGTCACACATAGTTTTTAACTGTTTTTTGCATAAATAAAGTAAGAAATAAATAAATAAACAAATAAATAAATAAATGAACAAATAAATAAATAAATAAACAAATAAATACGTTCCACCAATTAATACTACAACCAAAGAAATCAAGTTTGTTACAGCATACAGTAAAGTGTCTGAACTTCTAATGTCCCACTCATGGCATCATTAAGCACCAAGATTTAAGTTATGAGCAGCATATTGCACATCAACTTCATCTCGTTTTTTTCTGAAATTCATTGTAAATTCCACTCTTAACTACTGCGCTATCATATTCTTGACATCTACATTTAGATAAATCAATGCCTTGTTCTTTTGTGCTCTCAACTATATCAAAATGTAACCCGTGTTCTGATTGATATTTGACTTTCCTTAACCCTATTATGTTAATCGGATTCATTTTGCTCGGTGATTACATTTCTTGAAATTTTACTTAATCGATCCCCTTTTGATAGGTCTTGAGTGATATTCATTATTATAGAAAAAAAACGGCGCTTCATTTGTGTCTTTTAAGATTTTATCACAGTTTAAATAAAATGCTTTTTATTTCTTTTTGAAGTTGGGAACTTCAATAGCACGAGGTCCCCGGACCCTCGGGGCCCCCTTTTCAGTCCCTACGGAACTTACGCCGCTGGTTCGTTGGTTGCATCGCGCGCGCGCGCATGTATGTGTGTGAGCGTGTGAGTGCGTGTGTGTGAGTGAGTGTGAGTGAGTGTGTGAGTGTGTGTGTGTGTGTGTGTGTGCGAGTGTGTGTGTGTGTGTGTGTGTGTTTAGCGCGGACGTTTTCAAACTAAGTCAACCAGTTCACACTGATCTGCTGCTGCACCCTCCCCCCTCGCAGATATTTTGAAATGAAACTCTTGTAGAAGCAGAATAAGTTTGTTCAGAGAAGAAGAAAATTGAAATGCATCGTATTCAAGCATATAGAGTGGAAAGTAGGTACAGACGGAAAGCATATTGAGTTTTGTTTAAATTAAATGACTTTACGAGGTCACCTTACGCAGTTTTGTGATGTTACAAAATAGTTGTCTTTGAATGTACATATGTACACATTTTTAACAGTAACTCTAATACCAAATTTAATATACTGAAAAGTACATTGCACATTAATTGTGCAGCATATTGCACATTTTGATGTTTTGTTCTAAATTATTAATGGCATACTAGTATGTTTCATGTAATATAAGAAAGTTCAAAAAATAAATTTCCGTGGGTTGAATGAGTGTATTATGTACATGAATAATAAGTTTATTCATTTGCCTCCTATCCGCTTTAATATTCTCTTGCCGTGAACCTGAAGTGCATTTTGAAATATTTAGCGTATTTATTTTTCATTAACTTGAAAAGAGGTTTCACTTCTACCGCGCGGGAGCCGAGGCTCATTCTTTAGCGCTCGCAAGTAAAGCTCGAGTTGTGAGCGGGTGCGCGGGCGGGCGGGGCGCTGGAATGTCTTTCCCCGTGAGGTGTTTGTGTGGAGAGGTGTGGGCAGGAATGTGGTCCAGCCGAAGGTCGCGGGAGGCCGAAGGGGCGGGGTGGGATGCGACCGGGCGCAGTAACTGTACCCACTGCCGAACTGCGGGGCGCGAACCCGCGAGGTCAGGTCGCGTAGTCCCTCACACCCTTGCCGCTCTTCCCTGTTCTGCCACTCGTTCAAATAACAACAAAAGCTAATGAATGGCATTCTGATGAGCGAGAAAGTACGCTTTAGAGACTTGTCACGACAAATTAACGGTACTCGGAGAATCTATCTGATAAAATTGTTTGAACATTTTTGAAGTTTAAAAATTAATGTGCAAAGGTTACTGTTTATTTTCATAGTCATCTTTATTATGTATCTTTAAGATTTAACATTTCATAGAAGCTCCATATTGTTAGATCATGCTTCAAGCCCCTCAAGATTTTAATTAAGCTCTGGCCACGACCTGAAGACCTCCAATTTGTCTGAGCTTAATCGTGTCTGGTAGGTGCAATAAGTGTGTTCCGTCTGCACCTACAATTCCAGGTAGCAAACACCTAGTTTAGTGATAAATTCACTTTTGATATTACCGATGAAGTTAGATTACTGGATGTTCATAGTACTTGGAAGTCGACGAAGTTATTTTGATTAAGTTTCAAGAACAATTTCTTTCCCACATTCACCAAACGATAACTTATTTTCTCACGAGTCTACTTTTTTGATAAAATATTCACTGAATCGGATATTTACATTTCTTACTAATTAGAACTAGAAATATATTTTGGTTCTGTGAAACGCGGAAAAGTGGCGTTAGAGAAGGAGGGAAGCAAATGAATTTAAGGAATATTCCAGGAGGCTGGAAACCACTTGAACTACAATTCAAGAAATTTCATTTTAATATGATCTCACGATCGCTTTTAAGTTCCTTTTAAACCTATTCTCGCGAAATAAATAAATAAATAATAAATCGTTTGGATTTTAATGGTTCTTCAAAACGCCTTGACTTATTTTATACGTACACGTCTACGTACTACGTTTTAACGTATAATATACGAAAATACTGTAGATACTTCGTTTTTATAAAATGTTAGTGATCAGGAAATAGAGTAAAAGAAAGGGCCTCCAGAGGCAATAAATCAGAAAAGAATTTCAAAACTTAAGTTAGAGCTTGGAAAACTAGAGCATTGGCCGCAATAACGTTGTGTTGGTAAATGAGTGTAAGGTATTCAGCATAAAGTTCGTAAAAATACAAAAGCAAACAAACACTCAGGAATCAGAGCATCACTCTTTCGCAACCTTTCAAATGCTGAAGTTTCTCTTTTTGTTAAGGATTGGTTGTTTAGTTTATTATTAAACATCGGATTTGTAGGCACTAAAATATTCTATATTAAGTGGCTAAAACAGCTCTTAAAAGGCAAAAATAAGCCGTATAATTTGTTTAATAGCCAGTATGAAGTGACGTGTAAGCAACTTTTTACACTCATTTTATTTACTTCTATGTGCTTATTAAAACAAAGAATAAAAAAACATGAAAAGGAACACAAATGGGACTGCATATGCTCAAACAACTGTGTTTTTTAACTCATAATCCTTTCATATGCAGAACATTATCTTTTTATTTTAATATTTATGACGGGAGCGTATTTTAATATCCGAACAACAACCAGTATAATAATTATTGTATCTATCTTACCTAGGAATCTGGGAGGCCTTCCCTCCCTCCCCCCGAAAATTTTGAAAGGGGCATTACGCAATAAAACATTTTATGTTCAATCGTTTATTTTTCCCTTGTTTAATCCGGAAATTTGGGGAAGAGTCTCTTCTGGCTGTCTGGTAACTGCAAATGGTCCAGCATGA